GGGGGGATGGGAGAGGGCAAGGGTGTGTGGGGGGCAGCTCCAGCTGTCACTGGCTCAATTTACAGCCTCCACAGCCCACGCACTGGCTTTTCCAAACCCGCAATCACCACATCAGACAACTGACCAAGTCGGATGGAGAGACAGCCAGAGCCCATCCGAGCTGAGTGTGAAATCCAAGCCCTCAGCCAAAAGGGGGCCCTGGGACTTTTCCTTTCCTACTCAGCGTGGCCCGATTTCCCATCTGACGGCCACCTAATTTTCTCTTCTTCTCACTCCCTGGCGACATATACTGACCAAAGTGTTGCCTCCCCGCCTCCCCCACAGTGCAGTCACTTAGCCCCTTTGCCACAGTTAGAACCCATGGAAAAATACCCAGAGATACAGAAAAAGGGAAGAAACAAATATCCTACTGTGTCCCATGCTGTGATGGGACATCTAATTGGTTATTTTATAATCTGTTCAACCTCCCCAGCTAAGTATTTTATACAATATATTACTTAAAAATAAATCTGAATTGCAACAAATTTAGTTTTGATGTTATTTTTAGTCAAAGTCATCAAATAACTGGCCATCCCCTGTGAAAGTGCCACCTAGGCTCAGGTGGAATATGAGGACTCGGAGACCAAGGCTCTCAGGGGAGGCCGGGTGCAGCCCGGGGAGTGTGCAGCTTGTGGTGTGTGAGCTTTTCTGGGCCGAGGGACCAAAGCTTCCATCAGCTCTTACCCACTATTAAAAGCCATAGTGTTGCTCTTTCCTAATGTTTCCTGAGCTGTTACTTTAAGCCACGTGGCTTTCCTTTCCTGAAAATTTCCAGGGAGAAGGCTTTTTTTTTCCAGGGAGAAGGCTTTTCTTGAAGACGTGCCAGGGGCAGGAGGGAACAGGCCCAGCCAGAGGCACGCACAGCGTTCCTTCCAGCTGGCTCAGGACTCCTGTGCGCTCTGCCTACGTTTCTTCCTTCTTTGGCAGCCGCTGTTCAAAACCCCGAGGACCTGGCTGACGCCGGGCCAGGGGAGTGCGAGGCGAGTATGGGGTGTTTCATGTGGACAGATGGCTAATGGATGCTCTGTCCAAGCTGCGGGTATTTTAGTGTCTGCCCAGCGCTTGCGTGCAGCGACCTCAGGCCTAGGAATCTGAACAAGGCTGTGTGTCTGCCGAGCAGAAGCAGAGCGGCCCAGCGGTCACGTATGTGGTGACACGGGCAGATAGGTGTCTGCTGATGGAACTGAACCCAAATATGGTCAGGTTTTAGTCAGAGGCCTGTGCTTCTCTGGAGGATCTGGGAGGCACACACACTGCCTCTGGCCTCCCCAGCCCATCTCAGGCCAGAGCTCTGACGTGTAGGAGGCTCATCCTGGGACCGGGAGAGCGCAGAGCCCCAAGAGGTGGGGAAGGTCTTACTGTGGATTCTCCCTGCTTCGGGGTCACACGCTAGTTTCATCATGAATGTGGGTTACTTTTCTAATTTGAAAATAACAGTCAAGTAAAATGAAACCATAAGAATGCGGGCTCCTGGCCACAGTGATACACTTCAGGCCCGACGGGAAATGCACCGGCCAGGGCTGCAGGGACTCGGCCCTTCTGATCTGGCCCCAGTGCTGTAAATTCATGTTCCTTTCCCCATGGTCCTTGTATCTGTGTCAAATCCTGTCTCCATCCCTCTAAATTTTGCTTGTACATTTGCAGAGTTTTCAATCTATGATACATCTGAGAATTTGCAGGTATGTAGGCTTCTTCTTTTTTTTTTTTTTTAAATCTTCTCTCTATCTCATCTCTTAAGGATTAAGATTAAGGTCTTAAAGCTGTAGGAATAACATGACTCCAGTCTTAGAAAGAGACCAAAACTCTTTTAACAACAACACACGGAAGACTGGCTGAGGGGATGGAGAGGGTCCTGTGCGCGACAGGAGGTTTGGCAGCATCCCTGGCCTCTACCAGATGCCAGGGGCACCCTGCTTCCCCCAGTGTGACAAGAAAAAAATGGCAAGTGTCCCCTGGGAGGGAGGGAGACAGAATCACAAGAGCAGAGAGAAGGGTGGAGAGGCAGAGCTAGACCTAGAAAGACTTTGGGGCCACCTTCTGTACAGAAACAATTCAGCCCTCAGCACGCAAACTTAAAGAGCACCTGGGAGACAGTGACAGTGACAGTGAGCACCTCTGCCAAGAGCTCAGGTACCTCCCTTCCACATCTCTCAGTTCCTTTGGGTAGATGACAGCTGGTTTTGATGTTATAGATCTTTCAGTATTTGAAAATATCTTGAGCTTTGAAAATAATATAATCATGTTGTTATTACCATTGGTGGACTAATAATAAAAAGCATCCAGATAGGCACTGTATGTAGGAGGAGACAGGAAAAAAGAGATACTTGAGATTCCTTGGATATCATGGAAAAGTATTTTGTTCCTCTGATCAGAGGCTGTTAAATAGGCGACCCACATCTGGCCCATGAATGTGTCTGGTTTGCCCCACACAATGTTTCAAACAAATAATTTGAGTCCACATTTTAAAATTAGGAGGTCTCATAGAATTCCCGATTTTGTTCTCTCTTAAAAAGTCAGGCTTGGAAGGCTGGACCCACATTCTGCACGGCCTCAGCAGAGTGGGGGAGAGCTATCCTACTACACACTGTGTGCTAGTTTGCCACAGTCTCCACCTTGCCCTGCTGTCTCCCTGACACCAAGGCATTTTCTTATACTTAACTCTCTTCAGGCACTGAGAGGCATCTTCTGAATCTGCAGCCCCTGTAATAACGCCTTCCTAATCATATCAGCAGGGCATGAAAGTGAATCACAGGAGGAAGAGTTGAGGGGAGCTCGCTACCTCAGGCACCTCCCCCAGGATGCACACGTGGGGCTGTGGCCCAGGGAGGCGGAGGGGCTTGTCTGAGAACTCAGTACTCAGGGGCAGACTGGCAGGTGGGTGAGTCTCCCACAGTCCTGCACTCACCACTCTGTTTCCCACCGGCCACCGCTGACCTGCAGGCGGTAACAGAGTCCCCGGGACGCACCTCCGACCACTCTCCTGTGATCCAGACATACTCGCAGGGCTGCAGGCTGCAGCTCTCCCGGTCGGCAGGCCGCCGGCCCGCGTCGCAGTGCAGGCCGTGCACCTCGCCGCCTTTGTCCTCACCGACACACACCACCCTGCGGTACCTGGAGCCTTCGCCGCAAGTCTTGGTGCACTGTCAAGACAAACGAAGGGGTGCGGGTGTGGAGGGGTAATGGAGTAATAATGTCCCGTTTCCGTATAGACTGCAGGTTATCTATTACATGCAGGAGACTGTCCTGTTGCTGTAACTGTTCATTTCCCTGCCTGGAATCCCTCTAAGTCTGGGAGATCCTGGGAACAGCCGGGATCAGCAGAGAACCCGTATTCTAGCCCAGCTGCCCTGCCTCACTGCTCCGGGACAGCAGGGAGGTTCGGCGAGCAGCTGTCGCAATGCAGGAAGGGACTCGGGAACGGACGGATTTCAGGTCTGGAAAGACCCGGAGGTCTGTGCACTTCGAACACCCACTTGAACTTGGAATCTTTTTATTTATTTATATTTATTTACTTATTTATTTTAAAAGGTTTTTATTGATTTCAGAGAGAGGAAGGGAGAGGGAGAGAGAGAGAGAAACATCAGTGATGAGAAAGTCATTGATCGGCTGCCTCCTGCACGCCCCCTGCTGCGGATCGAGCCCGCAACCCGGGCATGGGCCCTGACCGGGAATCGAACCGCAACCTCCTGGATCCTAGGTCGACACTCAACCGCTGAGCCACGCTGGCCAGAAAAACATGGAATCTTTTTAAAACTATGGCCAAATGTTTTTAAACTATTATTTAGTCACTTCCCTGACTCAAGAGGTGACTAAATACCTCTTTCGTCAGGAAAGTCATTACCTGTCTGAGTGGCCCATTTCATCTTAAAACACAGAACGGAAAGCATCCCTGCAGGTTCCAGCCTCTGGTCCTAGTGGTCGGCTGCAGGGCAGCAGGGAAGACGTGTTTCACTTCTCATCAATGATTCCCCTCCAGTCTTCGACAAGAGCTTTCCTGGGGCCCCTACAGCCCTTTCTTCTCCAGGGGATCTGCTCTCATCCGTGGTCATTTACCAAATATTCACCAAGTTCTTAATATGCGTCAGGCCCTGGGACGGGTCCTGGGTGAACAACTGTGGGCATGGGTGGCTCAGCCCCTGCTCTCACAGAGAGGCATGTGTATTTTAGTAGCAAAGACAGGCATGAAAGACTGGGAGAGCCAGGGAGTGAGTTAGCAGTTGCTATGATCTCCAGTTTTCAGATGAAGAAACTGGGACTTAGAAAGCCCAAGTAACCTGTCCCAGGTCACACATCTCTTGGTGAGGTAGAAGGGACCTATCCTTTTATTCCCATGAACCAAGTGAGGAAACAGAGCGGCTAGTATGTTTTGTCCTGGGATGATCTATCTCCATGCTGTCCATTTGAGTTTGGGAGCCAATTTAACTCAAAATTCTCTCCTGAAAAAATTGGACAGATATATGAAAAAAAGAAAGAAAGAAACTAGACCACCATCTTCTACCATATACAAGAATAAACTCCAAGTGGATTAAAACTTAAATGTAAGACCCCCCAAACCATAAAACTCCTAGCAGAAAACATAGGTAGTAAAATCTCTGACATTTCTCTTAATAATTTTTTAAATATATCTTCTTGGGCAAGGGAAACAAAAGAAACAAGCAAACAAACAAAAATGGGATTACAACAAACTTAAAAAGTTTTTACCCAGAAAAGGAAACTATCAATAAAACAAAAAGACAACCTACTGAATGGGAGGACATATTTGTCAATGATACATCTAATCTCCAAAATTTATAAAGAACTCATACAACTCAACACCAAAAAAACAAACAATCCAATTAAAAAATGGGCAGAGGACCTGAACAGACACTTCTCCAAAGAGCACAAGGAGATAGCTAATAGACATATGAAAAGTTGCTCAATGCCATTAATCATCAGAGAGATGCAAATTGAAACCACAATGACGTATCACCTCACACCTGCCAGAATGGCTCCATCAACAAATCAACAAACAACAAGGGCTGTTGCGGGTGTGGGGAAAGGGGAGCCCTCATGCTCTATTGGTGGGAATGCAGACTGGGGCAGCCACTGTGGAAAACAGTATGGAGTTTCCTCAAAAGATTAAAAATGGAACTGCCTTTTGACCCAGCGATCCCCCTTCTGGGAATATATCTGAAAAAACCTGAAACACCAGTTTAAAGGATATATGCACCCTTATGTTCATAGCAGCATTATTTACAATAGCCAAGATATGGAAGAAACCCAACTGCCCATCGATAGATGAGTGGATAAAAAAGTGGTGATTATATTTATATATATATAAAATGGAATATTACTTGGCCATAAAAAGAATGACATCTTACCACTTGAGACAGCATGAACAGACCTAGAGGGTATTATGCTCAGTGAAACCAATCAGTCAGAGAAAGACAAATACCATATGATTTTACTTATATGTGGAATCTNTCAATCAGTCAGAGAAAGACAAATACCGTATGATTTTACTTATATGTGGAATCTAAAGAACAAAACAAACAAACAAAATTGAAAGAGACTCATAGATACAGACTGATGGTTGTCAAATGGGAAGAGAGTTGGGAAATAGATAAATAAGATGAGGGATTAATAAGTACTAATTGGTACCAAACAGTCACGGAGATATAAAGTGCAGCACAGGGAATACAGTCAATAGTGTTGTAATAACTATGTTTGGTGCCAGGTGGGTATTGGAAATATTGAGGGGAACATTTGCTAAAGTATATGATTGTCTAACCACTATGCTGTACACCTGAAACTAATAAAAAATAATATTGAATGTAAACTGTAATCGAAAAATACAATTTAAAATAAAGACATTCTTTCCTGATATGATTCTTGCCTCCCTCCCTCTCTCTCTCAGTAGTAAAATAAGCACAACATAAAATTCATCATTTTAACCATTTAAAATGTACAATTCGATAGCATTTAGTTATTCACAATGTTGTGCGATAATTACCACTGTCTCTCCAAAACATTTTCGTGGTCCCAAAAGGAAACCCTGTACCCGTTAAGCAGTCACTACTCATCCCCCACCCTCCCGGCCTGTGCAACCACCAATCTGCTGTCTGTCTCCATGAATTTGCCTATTCTCGACTTTCCATATAAATGGAATTATCCAGTATGTGTCCTTTTGTAAGTGGCTTCTTTCATTTAGCATAATGCTTTCAAGATTCTTCCATGTTCAGCATGTATCCTGTTTATGGCTAAATAATAGCTAATTGCATAGATATACATTTTTTCAAATGTTGATGGACATTTGGGTTGTTTCCTTCTTTTGACTATTGTGGATAGTGCTGCTGTGGACATGCATGTGCAAGTTTTAACACCTGATTTCCATTCTTTTGACTGCATCCCCGGGAGTGGAAATGCTGGGCCACATGGTAGACCTGAGTCTTTTGTGAGCTTCTTTGCTCTTCAGAATATAGAAGGGACACGTGGTGAGTCCTGGTAGCACCTTATCATTTGCACACTTAACTCAACATTTATTTCTGCTGCTTGGAAGAAAACCTCAATATTTAGGATTTGAAGTTATCCGTAATTTTTCTGGGGCACAAATATGAATCAAAAGCACAATGAGATGAGCACGGAGGAACAAATCCCTTCCAACCAGTGCAGGAGGCTGGCTGGGTCCGGGTCCCAGCTCAGTCCTGGGTGAGTGGCTTTGGGGTTTTCTGTACCCTGGAGGATGCTGGGAATGACTGTGAAGTAATAACATTTTTGTTTCATTTAAAAAATGCCAAACAAGTTAGAGAGTCACTGAATGTTACAAAACAAAACGTGGTTAATCTGTGATGGGTGGACATATGCAGGAGGAATACTTAACTCCTTTTAGAAGAAGCATTTCCTTAGAAATCAGGACTTGGGGGACTCAGGATCACGACTGAGCAGCGAACCTGGACTGAGCTTGTGCCCCGCCGTTTTCACAAATCCTAGGCTTGTGTCTGCGTCAATGAGTAACAGTTTAGAGCAGAAATGCAAGGGTTACTAAATGCTTTCTGCTCGGTAAATGTTTCTCTCTTGGTTTTGAAGAATGTTTAACTACCATAAAAACTCTTTTGCAAATGATGGAAAAGGGAGTTGGGAAACCTGACCTTGTGTTGAGGCAAGAAATGTCCAAACCTGTAGAAAATTTTTATGAGTGTTTTTAAGCCAAACTGATGACAACTGCCAAGAAGCAAAATCTCAATGGACTGAGAAAATGCTCCAGAGAATGGCAGTTTGCAGCTTATTTAATACATTCAAATCAAAAGAGGAGGTATAAGGAGGGTTACAGGAAATCCATTGGTGGTAGATTTAGGGGGTGGGAGAAACCAGAGCAGGGAAATCTCTGGGATTAGATAAAAGGCAAAATGTAGAAACACATACTTCTTTTACATTGGTGGGTACAGGTCAGATAATTCACATTTACAGCACAGACAGATGGTGTTCCGGGAACAAGGTAACAATGAGGGGCTCTGTGGTCTCTGCTCCAGTGCATGCTGTGCCCTGAGGGGTCTTTACTCTGACATTTCAAAGGTATGTTATCTTAGATGCAGAAAGACAATAGACGGGCTTGCTGAAGGTAAAGATTGACCTTTGTCAAGGAGGCTACAGGGCCAGGACGTGACTACCCTCATGACTCGCTTTTAATTAGGAAGTTTTATGTTCAAACCATCCAGTGTGGTTACTTTAGGTCTCTGCGTTTGTGAGGCCACCATGCAGGCCTCCTCTGAACTGTCAGGTTTAGTATGTGGCCCTTTTTTTGCTTACAATTGAGTATAACTTTTAGAAAAATTTAAGTAACTAATTGAGATGCTCAGTGCTTTGGAATTACAGTCAACAGAAGCTCTGAGCCACCAGCAAGGCTCTTCTGCGAAGTCCTGGACCCGAGCCAGAGCGAGAGCCTGGGTGACCAGAAAGCAGACCCAGCCCATGCTTTCGGATTCCATCAGCCTTTGGTTAACATCACGCCCCCCTGTGATTTATGAACTCTTTCCTTTCTCCTGGAAAATGATCTAGAATGTCCTGAAAAACAGCTAGAAAGATCAACTAGCCTCATTTTCATTCCAAAGGGTTTTCTCAAATTTCATCACAGCTCTTAGGATAAAGTACACCAAGCGTCTAA